GTTGTTTTTCCCTGTTTTAATTAGTGCTCTATTTTATTTTTATTTTTTTTAAAATGAGAGAGAGAGAGAGAGGAGCAGGCTCCATGCAGGGAGCCTGATGCGGGACTCGATCCTAGGTCTTCAGGATCAGGCCCTGGGCTGAAGGCAGGCACTAAACTGCTGAGCTACCCGGGCTGCCCTGTGCTATATTTTATTAAAAAAATTTTTTTAAACTCCATGCCACACGTGGGGTTTGAACTCATGACCCTGAGATCAAGAGTGGCATGCTTTATTGACTAAGCCAGCCAGACACCCCTAATTTGTGCTATATTTTAATGTATGACAGATACAATTTCTACTCCACCCACATCTAAATCACTGTTATTTTTCAGAGATTTTCTAGCTATTACATTTTTCTTTTTTTTTTTTTAATTTTTATTTATTTATGATAGTCACAGAGAGAGAGAGAGAGAGGCAGAGACGCAGGCAGAGGGAGAAGCAGGCTCCATGCACCGGAAGCCCGATGTGGGATTCGATCCCGGGTCTCCAGGATCGCGCCCTGGGCCAAAGGCAGGCGCCAAACCGCTTCGCCACCCAGGGATCCCTATTACATTTTTCTAAATAAACTTCAGTATCATTTTGTTAATACCAAAAGTTATTTTGGATTTTCATTAGGTTGCAGTAAATTTATAGGTTAATTTAAGAAGAAATGACAGCTCTAGAATATTGAAACTTGAAATTCAGGAATATGGAATGTCTTTATTTACCTAAATCTTTATGACCTTCAAAACCTTTATTTTCAGGATGCCTGGGTGGCTCAGCGGTTGAGCGTCTTTGGCTCAGGGCATGATCCCGGGGTTCCAGGATCGAGTCCTGCATCGGGCTCCCTGCATGGAGCCTGCTTCTCCCTCTGCCTGTGTCTCTGCCTCTGTCTCTCTCTGTGTGTGTCTCTCATGAATAAATAAATAACATTTTTTTTTTAATTTTTTTTTTAATTTTTATTTCTTTATGATAGTCACAGAGAGGCAGAGACACAGGCAGAGGGAGAAGCAGGCTCCATGCACCGGGAGCCCGATGTGGGATTCGATCCCGGGTCTCCAGGATCGCGCCCTGGGCCAAAGGCAGGCGCTAAACCGCCGCGCCACCCAGGGATCCCTAAATAAATAAAATCTTTTAAAAAAAAAACTTTATTTTTCTTTATATAGGTACTGTAGTTGCCATAATACCTTTATATTATGGTTCCATGTATATTAGATTTTTTATATTTTCAAACATCTTTTATATAGGAACAATATTGGTTTGATATGTTAATTTCATAACTTGGCTATTTTATTAGTGATAGCAAAATAATAATATGGAAGTGCTTACTTAGAGCTTTATACATGCCAGGCGCTGTTTCAAAGTGCTTATATTACCTCATTTAATCTTCTCATTTAATCCTGTGAGAATAGGCACTATTATTATCATCTCCATTTGAAAGCTGAGAAAACTGGAGCACATGATGTAATGTCACCTGGGCGTGCATGTTGGTACACAGCTCTCTTCGTGCATGGAACATGGGAACGGTTCACTGCCAGTGAAAGGGTTAGTTTTTGGTGTCTGTGTTTTATCTGAGGCCCTTGTATACCTTGGTTACTGTCTGTCCAGAGTTAATACATGTGGAACAGAGACTTACACTGATCCAGTGCCCTGGGACAGATGGAACCAAGAGTGTGATGACAGCAAACACTGGCCCAATCATTCAGTCACTTAACACCTCAGTGATTACTTTGTCCTGTCAGTGATGTGAGATCCTTTGAGGCCTCCAATTTATGTATATTTTAGGCTTAAAATTGGGGAGACCCTGTTTCCTAAATTTACTGAATTCAAAGACATAGGTTGTCATCTCACATAAATTCCTCGTATAAACTGATCCCACCTCCAGAATTAGCAGTTACCGATTCTGATAAGACCCTGAAAAAGATACTTTGCTCTTAAAACTAACTGAAACCATTTATTCGCTATCTCAGAAGCCCACATTTGCTTCCTGTTAAAATGTGCTTCATTTGTAAAGTATAGTGGATTCACATTGTTCCACCATATTCACAAAAAAGTAAGGAAATTACCGGCTGTTGGCGAAGACACAAAAAAAATTCTTGCATGTGAGCTCCAAAGGCCCAGATCTTGACAGTTTATTTTTTAAGATGTGATGCGTCCCTAACTCAGTTCTCTAGGTATTTGTAACCCTTTGTGAAGGCTGTCAAATTGCATGCAAGCAGGTTTCTTTTAGAATCAAAGGAGCAAAAAAGTTTTCATCCCACAGTAAAATTTCTACTACCAAAGCAACGTTTTGAGTATTAAATATAAACATATTCAAATTCAGTAGGAATTAGGTCTATTTTAAATCCCTAGCCATAAGTTTACAGTTGAAAGGAGTGATAAGAAGAGGACTTTTCACTTGTATAATCTAATAGTTAAAAGTGCACCGCTAGAATTTCTTTATTGAAGAGTTAAAAACATCCCCCCCTCCCTCGTCCTGCTTCTTGCTCCTGGCAGCTTCAAGCCACCAGGGCACAGCCACACATTGGAAATAAACATAAAGAGGCCTCTGAACAGTGGAAACTGCCTGGTGTTGGCTTCCCACATGGCTGCCCTCGCAATGGTGAGCCCTTGACTCTCGAAATACAATTATGTTCAGTTAATGAGCTTGTTTTTCTGGTCTGTTCCTGCAGCAGAATTAGAAGACAGATCTGTCAGAATTTGCACAAAGAAGGGAGGAGACGCCCAAGGCTACATAATTGGTAAATATAAAATTACCTTTGTAAATCAGAGCCTGGCACTTTTTTTTAAAAAGATGAGCGAGAGAGCGCCAGCGAGCGAGCGAGTACAAACGGGGTGGGAGAGAGCAGCAGACTCCCTGCTGAGCAGAGGCCCACACAGGGCTCAGGATCAGGACCCTGGGCCCTTGACCTGAGCTGACGGGGGTCACTTCCCACTGAGCCACCCAGGCGCCCCAAGGCCTAGCACTCCCAGAACTTCTTAAGGACATGGCTCTGTTTCTGGTTCTTGGATTAAACACGTTGCAGTGATTGTTCATAATGACCCTCAGTCATCAAGGAAGTGTAAAATTACATTTAGAATATAGTTTAATAAAGCAGAGATGGGCTATATTTTTAAATACATGATTACAATAGTTAAGTTTCTACAAAGGTTAATTGAGGCTTTAGGAACATTCATTTATGGTGGTCCATGGATTTGCTCTAGGTGTCCCTGAACTTTTAAGAATTGTGTGCAAAATTGTGTGTGCGTATATCCCTTTTCCTTGAAGAGTGGAGCATAAAGGAGGGAGACTCCATACCTTTCATCAGATTCTCAAAGACGGTTGAGCCCAAAAATGGTTAAGAACTAATGAATCGTATGAGAGCCCTTCAAGGCAGAGAAGTGTAATTTTAAACTTGGAGACAGGATAGTGATGCTTGGCACACAAAACCAGGTTATCAAGTTGTGATTAAATTTAGGTAAGTGATGACTAGAAACCTCTTAGCATATACACAGTTTAAGCTCCCTTCTATTCCTCTTAAAATGCTACTTCCAGGGATCCCTGGGTGGCACAGCGGTTTGGCGCCTGCCTTTGGCCCAGGGCACAATCCTGGAGACCTGCGATCGAATCCCACGTCGGGCTCCCGGTGCATGGAACCTGCTTCTCCTTCTGCCTATATTTCTGCCTCTCTCTCTCTCTCTCTCTCTCTCTCTCTCTCTCTCTCTGACAATCATAAATAAATAAAAATTTAAAATAAAATAAAATAAAATGCTACTTCCAGTCTTCGCTCTCATCCTTAGAGTACCCCAGCTTAAAGTACCATTAGCCACAAAATCAGACGTATCTTGAGGCTGGCCTCTGCTTTATCTCTTGTAAGGTACCCTAAACCAATTTCCAAGTCCCAAAGTTAAAAATAGTCCATTCTCCAGCCAGATGGACAAATAGCAACTGCCTTGGCCACAAAAAATCTTCAAAGTGGGAATAGATTCAATTCTCCCTACACAGAGCAAAGCTCTGGGGGTTGGGAAACCCTTTGTTGACTGTTTGGAGTGAATAGAGGCCTCAGGAAGCAGAGAAAGAGCCAATAATGTGCTGCTCTGTCATTCGAGAGGTTATAAATCAGTCTTGAAGCAAATAAAAATCTTGTCCTGGCATTCTACACGAAATACTATAAATTTAGTTAATCCCTGGTACATAGTTTTAGTGAATTGTCTTCACTTTTGTCCCAAATTCATTAATCTAGGACTAACACTTTTGCATCTGACTTCAAGAGATCTTCACGTAATTTATAACATAAACATATTGGAAGAATTCTCATACCGTACAGAAAGTGAGTGAAGAGTATAGAGTCTTCCTTCCCTGAATGACTCCCAATTCCATTTCCTAGAGATCCACTGAATATTTTTGTGTATTGTTCCAGAAAATAGGTATGCCCTTTGAAAACACACAAATGAGATCACACTACATATGAGTCGTCTTGCTTTTTTCTGCTATCTTGTAAGATAATCCACCTCATTTTTTTTCAGTGCCTGCAGAGCACTAGCTGCATGACTGTTGGTATTTATGAATCACCATGTAGGGTATTAATTAGTTCCATCTCGGGGCTCTTCTCATCAGTGCTCCAGTGCCCATTCATGTGCGATCCCATGGCCTATGTGGGAGTTACTATGAAGTAATCACTGCTCAGAAGATTAGTGCTTTTACATTTGTGGAATTTGATACCGAGTTGCCTTCCCACCAGGTTGCACCAATTTACACTTCCACCCTCAGGATACAAAAGCACCTGTCACCCCCAGCCTCCCTGACACTGGCTTTTCTAAACTTTAGTTTTTGCCATACTAATAGACAAAAGTATAGTTTATTGTTGTTTTTTTTTTTTTTTTTTTTTAGTAATCTCTACACCCAACATGGGACTTGAACTCTTGACCCTGAGATCAAGGGTCGCATGCTCTTCCCACTGATTCAGCCAGGCACTCCTAGTTTATTGTTTTGATTTCTTTTATTATGAGTTAGGAAAAACATATTTATTTTAAAATAAATATTAATTTTAAGAATCAAGGGTCCATTTTTTTTTTCCTTTTAAGCACTTGGTGCCCCCCATTTCATATGGTTTTGGTATTTTCTCTAAAAGTCACCTTCCTAAATTGTATAGTAAGATACTTTTGGGGGGAAGATCAAGTTTTCTTAGCATTTTTCTTTTTTTTAAGTCCTCAGTTGCCTTGGGTCGAACTAGTATTTCATTTGCTTCCTCCATCTCTGTGCTTTGGCAAGATCTTCTGCAATAGTTCTAATCATTCGATCAGTAGTTTCTTTCAAAATGGTTGCTGTCCTTAGGGCATGATCCAAAGATGAGTTTAATATCTACAGAGGAAAAGTCCACACGTTAAAAGTTACTGTTTCTGTTAATTGGGTTATCTCATTATTAACATTGCAAGATGGAATTTTTGGAGCATTCTTTTCCTACCCAGTCTATTCCTGTTTTTGACGGTTAGTTTCCTAGGAAACCAATCTGAGATGGAATATATTTTTTAGGGAAAGGGACAGAAAAAACACCCAACACGTGACTGATGAGTGTGAATCAGAGGGTGAGGTCAGCAACCTGCTGGGCTGTTGCCCTGTTTCAGAGGAAGAGGTCCGTGAGAAAGAAGGAAAGCTCTTGGGAGTCATCGAAGGGGATTTAGGGGGTCATAACCCCAGAGGGGGCACCGAGGGGTATTAGTGCTTGCATTGGAAGCCTTTGAAAGTGGCCTGGGATTTGATTTGAAAATAGGGAACTGCTGGCAGCTCTAACCCCAGTGTCACAGACTTGTGAGTGGCTGGAAACAGTCGCTGCTGCCTTCAGTCCTGGCTCAGGGGATCCTGTGGCTGAGGCACCACCCACAAAACACTTTCTCCAGGAAATTTCCCTTGGAACCAATTTAGGAATAATACAAACCATGTGGCTGCTCAGGCTGTGTGTCTTTATGTTAGTGCTGAGCACACATTGTTTTTAGCAGAGCCAATTTTCTGGTGCCCCCACACTGTAATAATTTAAAAGCCATTAGTTTTGTGGTCAAGCCCATACTTAAAAGCTGCAAGGATTCTAGATTTTTTTTTTCCCCAAGTCCTCACCTCAGATTTTGTTTCTTTGGTACTGCCAAAGTTTCTTAAGGATTTGCTTCCAGAAATCCTGCAGGAGTAGAAATGGAGTGAGGGTGTAGCAAGGTCTGAATTGTAGGTCATGAAAACCCTAAGATTCTTTCTAGAAGGCAAAAGCATATTTGTATCAATCTCTCCTCTCCCCCTTGCTTGTGGTGCTTCAGTAATGGCCGTGTGTGTGTGTGTGTTGGGACTGAGGAGTTTATGCACTCTCTGCCTTTTGTAGCTCTCATAGCCCTGTTGTGGTTGACCACAGAAATGAGTTGTTCCATGACCACGAAGGGCATTTCCTCTCAGAATCTGTCTCTACTTCTGTTGCTACAGAAAGAGGCGAGACTCCAATTTTTATTCAGTTTTTATTCTTTTCGGACCAACCTTTTACCCCACATATTTATAAAACAAATGCACACAAATCTGCCAATTGCAGGCACTTTGACTTGAGTTCATTCTATCACTGGTAAGCTTAACACAGCAAGGAGGCAGCAGCAGTAGGAAGATAGAAGCAGCGCCTCTTTAAACAGGCACCCCTCAACTACTACACTGTAAGTATGACTACATCTGTTGATGGTCTGGGTGAATAAGAGGGGCCGGCATCACTATGTACAGTTGTCCTGGTTGTGCACAGCATGGCTCTGGGAGGTTTCATTCACAAAGACTAAGTGAAGGGCACTGCCTGGTGTTATGCTTTGCACAACCATGAGTAGTGGCCTTAAGGGATGCCACAAGACCTTGCCTGTTGACAGGTGGGCTATGGAGCCATCCTCACAACCCCCTGGCTTGGGATTCCTTCTAGAAGTTAAGCATTACTTCTTTGGTACATAAAACACTCACTTGTGGCAGTCATCTCCAGGAAGTCCGACCTCAAATGCTTGTGACCCAATGCGTCCCTTCATCTCCCTCCCCTACCACATTCACATGAGTTGGTTCCGCAAGTTAGTTGAACACATTGGATCTATCATCCGGTTGACAGCATCAGAGACCATCAGCATCAGGAGCCCCTAGCTAATAGAAATCTCCAGACAGGACAGGGCAGGGCAGTGTGGTGCAGTGGGAAGGGCATAGGCTTCAGAGTCCACTGTCTCCCCACATCCAGTCAGTCACCTTATCTACAATAACAGCCATCACTTGCTGAATGCCAGGTACCTTTCCAAGTACTTTATATGTATTGGCTCAATCCTCAATGAATTTGGCACTATTGTTATTCCTACTTGGGAAATAATGGGCAAACAGAGTGGGGAAAGCGAAGCACAGAGATCTCAAGGACACTGAACCAAGATGCAAACCCAAAATAACCCCAGAGGCCACATTCTTGAACACCACACTGCATTACGGTAGTAGCTAGTGAGTTCCGACTGAGTGAGTGCCGAGCCTAAACTGTTAACCACCCTGCTACACTATTGGTTCTGCCTCCTGACCGCTCTCTTTCCTTTTCTACCACCCTTGGCGAAGGCTACCATCATCTGACCTGGATTATTGCCCCAGCCTCTTAGTTGGCCTCTGTGCTTCACGCCTTGACTCCTCTACTCCATTCCTGCTTCTTTAGTAGTTAGAATGATCTTTTAAAACACTAGGAAACTTTAAAAACACTCTGGTTTAAAACTTCATTGGCTTGTTATACTCAAGAGTTTGAAATCCTTCCTGTGGCTGACAAGCCCCTACATGGTCTGCCCTGCCCATCCCTTCACCAGCCCCATCTTGCCCCACAGCCACACGCTCTACACTGTTCCTGAACTTGCCAAGGGCCCTTCCCACTCCAGCAAGCTCTTAGACTAGAATGTCCTCACTGTTAGCCTCTACATCCTCTTGCTAGTTGACTCACACTTATCTTTTGGTGTTCAGCTTCCCTGAACCCCCAAATTAGGTATTAGTACTCAGTACACTCCCTTTGTGGCACTTACAAAGACTGGCCCTTCTACCAAAAAGGTAACTTCCATGAGGGCAGGGACAGTAGTTTAATTTTTCACTGTGTCCTCCCCAAGCAGGTGCATGCAGGGCCTTCTTGGTGCATGGTGCATGCCTGGTGGCCTTCTTGGGGCTGGGAGTCCTTCTATGACCATATCCCCCTCCCATGTGGCACTCTTGTCATGCAATCTCTCACTAGAAACGATGGGGGTGACCCCTGGCACGGGACACTGCTACTGACATTCAAATATTTGTTGAACAAATAAACAAACGTTTGAAGTATTAGCCATACTTTGGTTTGAATTTTGGCTCTACTACTTATGATCTAGGTGATCTTGGGCCAATAATTTAATGCACTAAGCATATTGTATGTAACTAGTTAATGGGTAGTCATTTTTATTATCATTAATAATAAAATAATACTTACTTTCCTGGTATGGTCTCATGTTCATCATGAGAGGATTTTGGAATCGATGTCTGGGAACAGATCCATTCTGGTTTTGAACAAGCTGAAAAATGTTAGCTATGATTAAATTCAGAGCATCAAAAATGATCCCCAAATGGTGGATATATGGTATCATTTCCCGAACTTTTTTGTATGAATGAAATATTTCATGCAATTTTAATGAATAAGAAGATTAGGGAACATAGAAAACAAAGAACTTTCTATCAAGTATTCTGAATTCACAAAAAGAAATTCAGCTTATTTATTTATTTTAAGAAATCCAACTTTTAAAAAGAGTTTTCTCAGTAGCCAAGAGACCAAGAGTCTAGATTTAGGTTTCTGGGGTGCTAGCTGTGTGATTCTTGAGCATCTGTCCAACCTCTGTGGACTCAACTACTTCATCTGACAAGTGAAGGGATAATCCCTTCCATAGCATGGACAAAATGGATTCCTGAAGTCCTCTCCAAACACAAGAGCAAGGCTTCTAGGAGTCAGAAACTAAATTATGTTACTAAGACAATTCCAGAAAATAGAGACTAAACTGAAAAGAAGATAAATATAGGAAAGGCACCATGGAAGATAAGAAGAAAGTCAGGGAAAGGAAGAGAGAAGAATCAATGGCCTAAAATCTGCTTTCTCTGTTTCTGGTTCTCCTTCCAGGTCTCCTGTCTTTTTCGCCCGTCTCTCATAGCTAGGCTTCACACCCCCTGAGGAGGGTTCCATTTGACAAGGAACTAGGAGACATTGTCTCTCAGACATGGAAGGCAGAGCAGAAGCCAGAAAGCTCAAATTAGTCATGCTGACCACCCAAACTTAAGTCATGACAAGCAGAGATACTAATGAGTTCAGTCTTAATTGTTTGCTCTCCAAATATAATTTTGGATTTTATTTGAAACATCATAACTCAGAGTTGGGAAGGACCATAGGGTCATCTGGTCCAGTTCTAGTCTGGTCTATTTGCAATAGATTTGCAATATCCTGACGGAGTATATTGTCTCCAGATGGGATCTGTAGAGACATCTCTACAGATAGGACTCATGACCTCCCACAGCAGCCCACTCCATTCCAATTTCTGGAAGATTCTTATCAACATTGAACAATGCCTCGCTATGACTTCTACACTCTTGGCCACATACATTTACTAATGCAGTTCAAAGTCACACTTCAGATGACTCAGTTGACCCCTCATTCCTTCATATATTGGAATAACAAGTCTCATGGGCTATAGACCCAAAGGCCAAGGAGACAGTAAAGAAATCTGCCCTGTTGCTTCTGCAGAGTTTTAATGGCTGTCATCTTGAAAGCATACATCCATTTGAAGGATTTGGCAGCTGGGGGGGGGTGTAAGGGACGCACAGCTGAGTTCAATGAGGTAGATGGCATTCTTTCATCTTGGAAATTGGCAGTTGGGAAAGATAAGAAACATTCCCCTGGATGCCCTGTCCCAGATAGGGAGACAAAGTGCTCTGGTGGTATGAATTTTTCCCTCAAGCAGAGGATGTCAAAGAGCAGCTATGGTTATTCAGAAGCAAAACAAGGAGTATTTCTTTCTCTCCCTTTTGTTCTCTTAGCACACCCTTTGCTCATTGTAACATCACATTTTGCCATGAATTTTCCTTATTTGGGTATGAATTCATTTCAATAGATTATGAACTCCTTGGGAGGGAGGAGCCATGTCTTATTCATCTTTATAAATAAATGTTTGTGGGATTTTAATGTTTTCCAAAGACAGCAAAATTTTATATTGAAATTAGCAATAGGATGTTTAAGGAGTGTAAAAATAGTCTGTTTCTTTACATGACGACTTTTAGTAGAGATATGTTTAAATCTTTCACCTGAATAACAGCAATACTAGTGATAATTATTCAGTTGGTCATTTGCTTAGCAAATATTTACAATTTGTTACCCACTTACACTGAGTTAGCACTTGATAACTTTATTGCTAGGATCTCCTATCTCCCAGCCCTGGCCCAGTCTCTTGCCATCCAGGATGTGAAAGCATCAGATGAGTACTGGAGAGCCAAGCAGCAGACTGGAGAGGGCAAGGGCTCCCCAAAGGGAAGCAGTAGGCCCTGTGATATGGGTCCCGCAAGCCCAGGAGACCAGCCTGTTTACAAAGATGAGATCATGCAGCAGATGTACTTACAAGGTGAAGAATTTTTATTGTCATTTAAAAAGCAGAGCTTGACAAAGGCACTTCTTTCGTTAGGATTTAAGTAATTCTCTCCTGGGCTGTTGTACTTATAATGAAATTCTAAAAAGAAAAGATGAAAAATACAACTCATTACCTGCAAACAACAGCTGTCCCCACTCACGAGCTCTTTGCAAGTCCTCTGAGCCGCACTCACCTTCGAGTGGCTCTTTGCTACAGACTCTTCTGGAATTATGATTCTCAGTGCCATAGTTCTCACATTTATTACTCTGCAATCCAGTCCTGGAAGCAGGATGGCAGCTGGGGCTGGTATCAGAACCTGAAAAAGCCCAAGTTACACAGAGGAAGAGTTTCTTCATTAGAGTCCTAAAATGCGGTGTGGAGAGTACAGTTCTAACCGTGCAAGGTATGCCATAGGCGCCAAAGTGTTCAACTTCCCCAGCTGTGTTCCCAAGGGGAGCTGCCAGCCTAGGGATGACATTTGGAATCCCATTATGACAACTGAGAGATGTTTTGGTAAGTAGTAGATCTTAGCCTCAAGCTTTTCCTCGCACAGGTAGGGGCTTAGAGGTCTGCTGAATCGATGGGTCTGTGAGAATTCGGTCCACTGAATTAACGACATATGCAAGATTGGTATTTTTCCTGATTTACCCTGATACACGCATGTTCTTTTCTTAGATCTTATTGTGGCCAAAAGCTTGTGTTTTTTCACCTAGACGTTTTACTCTACATCAAATCCATGAGCTGATATGGGAAACTGAATTATAGCTTTGCCCTTATCTGCACCAAAGAGAGGCTGGTAGTAGAGAGCATGTATGACTAGTGCAGGTCTAGAATCTGGCAGGCTGTGGGCAATGGAGCCTTCCAGATAAGGCTGGAGCGTGAGAGCCTGGGCCAGACAAGCAAGCACAACAGGCTTGGGGTCCAAGCAGCATCTCAGCTCCAGGAGTGATGAGGCCAGAGGACAGACTGCCAGTGCTACCTGCCTTGTGCACCCAGTATTATGCTCATTTGTAACATTATCTTCCTAAGAGTAAGTCACAATGGAATGAGCTCTGGGGATGTTTTTTCTCTTCCATATCTCAGTGAGTAGTCATTGAGGGGCTCCTGGGTGGTTCAGTTGATGGAGCATCTGACTCTTGGTTTTGGCTCAGGTTTTGATCTTGAGGTCGGGCTCCATCTCGGTGTGGAGTCTGCTGGAGATTGTCTCCCTCCCCCTTGGTCCCCTCCCCCCACTCATGTGAGCTTGCTCTCTCTCTAATAAATAAATAAATAAAAATAAATTATAAAATTATTGAATCTCTTCTCAATCTATAACTGAAGGAAATTACAATAGAGGATCATGGGCCTACCCTGGGAAGGTTGCATAGTAGAAAGAGAATGAGGTTCAGATAGACCCGAGTTTAAAGTCTGGTTCTGCCACTAGTTAGTGGTGATGGTTAAAAATATGTCCAAAAATTTTTTGATATGTTCTTCAGAATGTAGAGCCTAATTCTTCTCTCCTTGAGTGTGGGCTGGATTTAGTGACTTGCTTCTCACAAATAAAGTGGTAGGGATGACGTATAAATTCCAAAACTAGGTCATAAAAGACACTGAAGCTTCCATTTTGGACTTGGTCTTGGATCACGTGGCTGCCATGTCATAATGACACTCAAGCAGCTTACTGGAGAGGCCCACATGTAGAGGAACTAAGACCTCCTCCCAATGGCCTTGTCAGTGAACCTTCTTAGAAGCAGATTCTCCAGTCCCAGGCAAATCTTCAGATGATGGCAGTACTGACCAACATCTGACTACAGCCTCATGAGAGAACTTGAGCCTGCATCACCAAGCTAAGCTGCTCCCAAATTCCTGATCCATAGAAATTACAAGATAGAGGGATGCCTGGGTGGCTCAGTCAGTTAAACTTCTGACTTCGACACAAATCTTGATCATATGGATCTAGCCCCATATTGAGCTTGCTGCTCAGTGGGGAACCTGCTTCTCCCTCTCCACTGCTTGTTCTCTCTCTCTCTCAAATACATACATAAAATCTAAAAAAAAAAAAAAGAAAAGAAAAAAATAACGAGATAGAAAACATCTGTGGTTGTGAACCATTAACTTTTGGGATACTTCACTACACAGCAGTAGAAATACATCAGCTCTTTGGCAAGTCACTAAATTTCTCTGAGTCTCCATTTCCTTATCTGTAAAATAAAGATAATTCCTGCTTACAGGAGTGTAGGGTAGATATGTTATATACTATATCAGCAGTTCTCAAATTCTTTATGTCAGAACCCTTTTTACATTCTTAAAATTGAGGACCCTAATTGAGGACCCTAAAGAGCTTTCCCTTATTATAGTTTTTATCTACCATATATCATAATTTGTGCCATTTTTTATACCTGTGGTGAAAAATCTCACCCTGCATTGGAGAAGAGCTATTATATGACATTCAGTCAGTTGAATATGGACTGGTAGAGAGGTATCTATTATAAATTTCAAGTCATTTTTGCTTCTGCAGGATCATTCAAATCTTTCCAAGACTGAATGGACAGTCCTAAGGGCTTTTTTTTTTTAATTTTTATTTATTTATGATAGAGAGAGAGAGAGAGGCAGAGACACAGGCAGAGGGAGAAGCAGGCTCCATGCACTGGAAGCCTGACGTGGGATTCGATCCCGGGGCTCCAGGATCGTGCCCTGGCCCAAAGGCAGGCGCCAAACCGCTGCGCCACCCAGGGATCCCCTAAGGGCTTTTTTTTAAATAGAATTCTAAACTGAGGGATTTAAAAATATTTTATTTATTTTGACATTTAGAACCAATAGTAATTCATTTCATGCTGACAAAATACCAGGTTTTTATTTTTAATTTTTCAGAAACATTTTATTCATTTATTTATTTTAGATAGAGAAAGGGGAGGAGCAGAGGGGGAGGGAGACAAGCAGACCCCATGTTGAGCACGGGACTCGATGCAAGGCTGGATCCCACCACCCCAAGATCACAACCTGAGCTGAAACCAAGAGTCCAGCGCTCAACAACTGAGCCAACCAGGTGCCCCAAAGTAATAGGCTTTAATTTAAAAGAAAAGTATGAGACGAGTGGCAGTGTTTTATGTTTTGGCAAGCGTCTTGAGGATCTGGCTTAATAGAAGGCAGCTGGATTCCATTCAATCTGTTGCAGTATTGGCCTTGCACGGATATGTAGCTGGGAGAGAGAGGACCTCACCGCCCCTGAAAGTGTCTCAGGGACCCTAGGGCCTTCTGACCACACTTTGAAACCCTGTACTGTTACAGCATATCTGGTATAGTAGGTGTTCAATCGATGAAACATTACTGTTACTGTTAGCAAATGAATTATCTACAGAGAAGTAGGACTACGTGGGACGGAACAGAAAGAACACTGAGTTGAAGGAAAGACTCTGGGCTACCAGTCTGTATCAACGTCCACAAGCCTTGTTAGCACTCTGGCCCCAGTTTCTCGGGTACAAACAGGGTGGACTAGGCTCAGGGGTGACTCTCAGGCTCGGGGGTCGCCTGGACAGGCAGGCCTCGGCCTCACCTCTTCCTCAACCAGCGTGTTTCTGCCAGGGGATGTTTTTCTACTTCAACTACCTTTGGAGGAAGGCTCCTATGACCAAAAAAAAAAAAAAAAAAAAAAAAAAAAAATCACTGAATCCCATGCCCTGCCCTGGTGCTCTCCTGGCCTCCTCCCAGCTCTTATTTTCTTTGCTTCTGTGAAATGTGTGTGGACAAGACAGCAGCAATTCTCCCACGGCCAGTAAGCTCACCAGGTGCAGATTATGGGTCGCTGGAAGGGTGACACACAGAGCTGAGGCCACCTCATGACCCAGTGCATGGAGTCCTCTGATTCCCGCAGAAACAGACATGGGCATTTTCACCCTGTCTGACCACATTTGATCTATTTGAATCTATTCAGTTATTAATTTTTTACATATTGCCTCCAAAAATACAATATGCAACACCCTTGTCTAGGTAAAGCTGTTTGGTGTGGCAGGCGGTCTGTCTGCAGTGAGCGGACCTTGGAGAGGGGCCTTGAGGCTGGAACACCCACAGCCCTGGGGCCCCTCAACTTACTGACAACAGAATCTGCACGCAGCGCCTCTTCTTGAATGGCAGTGGGACACCTTCCACTGTTGATCCTTCTGTGCCCTTTCTTCTCCATGTTTTCCTTCCTATAAGAGGTGCATAAGATCCCATAAACTTTTTGTACACTTCTCACAGAGATCATGAGAGTACTGGTAAAACTGAAATGTTCAATTTCTTGTATCAGAGCCTGGGGCGATAATGGGAGTGGCATGTTGTCCTCATCACAGAGATCCCTTCTGCCTGTCTTTCTGAGAGCTTCCCTATAAGAAACTTCACCTTAGCCCCAGGTGGCCTGGTAAGAATGTGTATGCTAAATGTTAAAAGTAAATCTGCTTTGTTCCCCAGAGGATAGCATCCAATCATCATGCAATATAGAAATATAGACACAATACAGAAATTTGTACAGAATTATAAAATTCCATACAAATTTGTATGGAATTATATCATTGTATTTGTATGGAATTATAAAATTTGGAGTTTTCTTTTATTCATGTCTCAAAATCAATTCTTTTTTTTAATAAAGATTTTATTGGGATCCCTGGGTGGCGCAGTGGTTTGGCGCCTGCCTTTGGCCCAGGGCGCAATCATGGAGACCCAGGATCAAATCCCACGTCGGGCTCCTGGTGCACGGAGCCTGCTTCTCTCTCTGCCCCCCTCTCTCTCTCTCTCTCTCTCTCTCTCTCTCTCTCTCTTTCTGTGACTATCATAAATAAATAAAAATTTTAAAAAAAGATTTTATTTCTTTATTCATGAGAGACAGAGAGAGAGAGGCAGAGACACAGGCAGAGGGAGAAGCAGGCTCCCTGCGGGGAGCCCGATGTGGGACTCGATCCCATGAGCCTGGGATCATGCTCTGAGCCAAAGGCTCAACCACTGAGCCCCCCGGCGCCCCTTAAAATCAATTCTTTATCAGTACTAGGTCACATAGGAGCCTTTGTGGCTTTGGCTCCATAAAGTGCAGCTGAATGCGCCCAGTGAGTCCAGCAAGATGGATTTTGTCCAGTGTGTATGGGGCTAAAAGCTATGGGAGCAGACAGGGTTGGTTTTAGCTGTACAAGGCCACCAGGGGGCATCAAGAAAGATACGTTACAGTTGTCATTTACCAGGACACTTTCTGTGACCTGTCTGTAGCTTCAGCCTCCTTCTTCACAGAAATTCTAACTCCTTCAGAGAAATTCTGATTAATCACAATTCCTAATAAAGCCCTTGCTGAGCCCCTGAGATACAGTAATAGCCTCCAGGAAAGTTGCTCGTTCTTAGTGTGGAAGGCACTTTGCCCATGATATCCTGGACATCTCTGGGTGGAATGAGATGCATTCCCTGGGGGATGGGGGACAAGCCCTAGGCATTCCCTGGCAAATGCAGCACACCCAACTGTCCCTAGGCCTGCTGCCCGTGGAGAGAGAAGCACTGTGGCTGGAGTTGGTGGGGCTGGGGGCTGAGAAGCTGGGCCCTTCCCTTCAGAAAAACATGCTTTCTTCCTGACTCACATATTTTCTCACACCTCATTTTCTGTCTCCACCCTCCGCCTTTGGGGCATTTGAACATCTGCTCTCCAAAGTGGAAAACCTGGATTTCTTTCAAGTGAGTTCAGGCCCACACATGACTTTCTTTTTCTGCCTCTTTAAAACTTCTTTGAACACTAAAATCTTGCCAAATGCAAAAACCAAGAGCCATTCTACTTGAGGAGACAGTTTTCCAAGAAGATAAAGTAACTAAAGTGTGTTCTTAAATCCAAAATCCTGCATCAGGCATAGCACAAAGGGATAAGCATTTTATATGCAGCATATATATCCTTTATGTGCATATAAATACCCTCCAAATGTCAGCAAATGTCATAAAGCACATGTCCTAACAGAGATATCTAATCTTCTAGAAGAGGAAAGAGTATATAGAGTCCTTTGTTCAATTAGTCCCTCAGGTGTTATGTAGTTTACCAAGATTTTAATTTATAAAGCATGTGTATCTCTACTTCACACCCCATCAGTACATTCATTGTTAGATCTGATTTCACACTTGGTTGTGCTTTTCCTGCCCTCTTGTCCATCATTAAAGAGAAATTTTAGTCTGGAATATCGATCCCTGCCTTGGTACTACAGAGTACCTGTGAGGTCTAGACTAGGAATTTGGAAAAGAAGCATTTCATACCTTGAATGCTTAATCAGAGTGTGTTTTAAACGTAAAACTGTTTTTATTATACTGAATACAATCTAAAAAAAAACTCCCAAACCTGGGTTTAATTCAATAGATAGTAACAGTGGGCCTGGGGCGGCTCAGGGAGTCGGCATCATCATTGCCTCTTATATTTAAAGGAGAATCAAAGCCTGTGGTTGGCAGGTCAGTTCCAAGCCACGGTCCACAGGCCACGCCGCACGGTCATTTTTAGCACAAACACCGAGCTGTTTCCTTTTTTAGGGGGAGGAAACTCAGCAATATCAACACTTAGGACAAGCGCCCATTCCCGCGGTGGATCGCGCTCCAACCTCAGACCTCGTCACCTGCGTCTACTAGAGCCCTTTCTGGGCGGGAACGATTGTGGCGGAGCGGCCCTGCCTCCTGACCCCTGACCTCCCCAAGGGAAGTCAGCCAAGCTTTGGTCCCGTCCACAGCGCCTCCTGAGGGCGCAACAGAAGCTCCAAATGATTCCGAATCCACGTGGGCTGGCAGCGGACCCCAAGAAAGTTTCCGGGAGCCCTGCGGGGCTCAGCGGTTGAGCGCCGCCTTCCGCCCAGGGCGTGACCCCGGGGTCCCTGCTCGAGTCCCGCGTCGGGCTCCCTGCTCGGGGCCTGCGTCTCTGTCTCCCTCTCTCTCTCTCGCCGTGTCTCTCAAGAATGAATAAATAAATCTTAAAAACAAAACGAAAAAAAGTTTCCGAGAACATTACGGATTTCTCCGTAGGATTTCACATCTGCAGGTTTTTGCACGATTTATAGCTTCTTCGCCTCTGGAAAATCCCCCGAGATGTGGGGTTCGGTTTATTCCAGTGGGCGGACGGAGGGGCAGGGCAGCTAGCTGCTCGGGGGACGCGAGGAGCCGGGGGCGGGCACGCTGCTGTCCAGGTGCGGCTGCAGCCCGGGCCCGGACGCTCTGTGGCCTGGACTCTCCACCAAGGAACCTGGGAGAATCACTTGAGCAGATTTAAAAGAAGTATTGGGGGGGGGGTTTGGGCGGGGGAGCTCGGCGGTGGGGTGTCCGCCTTCGGCCCAGGGCGTGACCGCGGGGTCCCGGGATCGAGCCCCGCCTGGGGCTCCCCGCGGGGGTCCTGCTTCCGACTGTGCCTGGGGCTCTGCCTCTCTGCGTCTCTCATGGATAAGTAGATACAATCTTTAAAATAACTAAAGGGCTAGAAGTGCTCCTGCCGAGGCCGCAGCCCAGGGAGGCCGCCGCGGGGGTGAGGCCGCCGCGTGCGCATCTCCCCGGGGCGCCGCCGCTCGCAACCCCCGAGGCACAGCGGCAGGATTCGGGAATCCGGGAGGCGGCGGCTTCCCGCACCTGTGCGGGCCCCCGCCTCGACCCCGCGGAGTCCCTCCCCCCACTGCGGGTGGGCGGCGAGGGGCGCTCACCGTTCCAGGGCCCGGCGTCCACCCGCACGGCCGGGGCTGCTCGGCTCCGCCCGGTCCTGCCTCCCCGCGCTGCGCTCCGGCTGCTCCTGCACCGCAAAGCACACTCCATGGGGCCGGGGCCGGGGACGGGGACGGAGACGGGGCCGGGGACGAGGCCCGGGACGGGGCCGGGGCCGGGAGGGTCCTCGGGCCTGCCGCCCGCACCCTGGGCCTGCCGACTGACTCCTTGCTCCAACCTCCTGGCTGCGCGCTCGGGCCTGGCGGGGGGCGGCCACTGTGGGGGCGGCCACGGGGGGGGACCGCCTGGCTGGGAGGGGGCGGCCTGGCTGGGGGGGGCCTATCTGGGGGGGCCGGCTTGGGGGAGGCGGCCACTGGCAGGGGGTGGCGGCCTAGCTGGAGGGGGGCGACCACTGGAGGGAGCCACCTAGCTGGGGGGGGCTGGCTCGGGGTGGGGGGCGCCTGGCGGGAGGAGGGGGAGGACAGCCTGCCGCTGCAGAGGCTGCGGCCCTGACCCCGCTTCTCTCCTCCCGATATTTAAAAATCTAGTTTACAGATAAGAGAGTATGTTTCCCCTTTATTTCTTTCCTTAGTGTCAAATTACCCGAAGCTCCACTGGAGCTAAATGAACAGATTTAGGCAGATAATTTTAAATCCATCAATCTGACCGCTCTTCGTAGAGCTCTACAAGCTTCTCCAAAGAAATGCATTCAACTATGAATTAAAACAGGGTGTAGGGACTATTTAGAGCCTTAAATTATTGTTTATATGTCCCTTTTTAAGACAGAAAAATTACACTACCTCACTGAAGGGCCTGACACCACCCAGCGTGTATTTTTTTGTTTTTGTTGTTTTTTTATCCTTTCTGTAAACAGAAAACGTGCTTTTCTCACCATTATAAACACTGCCGGCATAAGCATCGTTGTACAGATAGCTTCTTCCACATTTTGAATTACTTCCTTAGGAAATGTCTAGGTCAAAGGTTGTGAACATGTTTGCGTGATGATACATATTGCCAAACTGCTTTCCGCAAACGCTGGAAGAATTACACAGCCGCCAACAATGTGGGCAGTGCAACTTGACCACACCTTCCTCCGCATCAGGAATCATCCTTGAAAATGTTTTTGTTAATTTAAAAAGGGGGGAGGTGGCATCTTGGGGGTAATTAGCATTTCCTCTGTTATTAAAGGAGATAAACATTTCCCCATGTGCTTATTTATTGGCTATGTTTCCTAGTTCATATTCCATATTCTAGTTCATGCCCATTACAGCTTTGGAGGGTTTCAGTATTTCCTGATTGATAAAACTGATCATTTGCTGATTGCTCATTGTGCCAGGTGCTTCTCATACAGCCTCGTCTGTTCCTCCTCGCCATCCTGGCATGTTGTACCCATTTGAATGCCCATTTTAATCAACTGAGGCTCAGAATTTAGGCAACGTGACAAGGTCACAGTAAGTGGCAGAACTGGGATTGGACCTTTACCCATATGCTTGGGTTCTTAACCACAATTTTACTGCTCCTCTGTGCACTTGCCAGAGCACTTCGTACAATAAATATCTCTATTGAATGTTATTTGTTCTTAACATTTTTCAACTTGTCTGCCTTTAAAAAAAAAGTGGCTGCGGTTTCAGTTTTGTAAATATTAGTTAAAATGTTGATGTCAAAGAGGAGGTGGCAATGGCCAAGAAACATGAAAATGAGTGGAATGTCACAAATCGTCAGAGAAATATAGCTCAAAACAATGAGATACCAGTTTCACTTATTCCAGCAAAGTTGGAAAGAAAAAGAAAAAAATTCCCCAAGGGTGGGCTCAGGGGAACACATCTCCTTTCCCATGTGCAGCTGGGGCATGACACCAACTTGCTCAGGGCCAGTTTATCAGAATTTTCACTCTGTGCCTCTTGAACCATTGACCGCACTGCTAGGTTTTTATTGTACGGAAAGAATCAAGAAGGCTGAAAGCCTGCATATAAAACAATGTTACCAAAGCAACGTTTATAATATCAAAGAACCAGAAAAAAACTAAATGTCCACCAGCAAGGGATTGGTTAAGTGAATTGGTATAATGAAATACAATGCAGCCCTTAAAAATGAAGCTGTAGGTTTATTCTATGACATTGTTAAGATGCCCACGGTAGAATACCAAATGAAAAAAAAATCATAAAATAATACAATAGGATCCCATTTTTGCAAACACGTGTCTGCAGAGAAAAGATTGTATAGATACACTCTAATGTATTAGCTAGAATTTTTTCTCCATGAAATGTTCTTCTTTGTACTTTTCTCTATCTTCTGACTTATTTTTGCAATAAGAATAAATTATTTTTATAATTTAAAAAATAAAGGCTTTCCCTCCGTGTTTTCTTTGATCACTTCTCACTTTCAGGGCTATAGGGGTAACCCTGCCCTTCACAAATAAGGCAAATTTACATGAGCAGAATGTAGGCGGGTGCCCTCCTCCTGAAACTGGGATCTAATGTCCCCTGACATTTGTCCTGGGCAAGTCTCCTCACCTTCCAACTCCTCTCTGCCAAGTCTTTGCAAACTGTGAAGCTCTGAACCAACAGAACTAGTATTGTTTACTGCTTATTATAATTTTGTCACTATCATTTTAGATGTAAGGGTTTTTAATCCCAGTACTTGCAGCTCATTCATAATGAAATAATCTCAAGGTGTGGCTCCCCCAGACCGGCAGTATTGGCATCACCTGGGAGCTTGTTAGAAATGCAGACTCGTAGGCTTACCTCAGACCCACTGAATCAAAGCCTTTGTACAGTAAGACTTGCACACGATTCCAAGGCACACTGCAGTTGCAGAAGGCCTGATCTAGAGCAGATACCTCAGGCGAGTGTCTCTGAGCACCAAGAGTGGGAAGTATTAGCTTCCCAGCAGCTGTCGCCAGCACTAACATGCAAGGTGTCAGGTAGTATAAGAGCCAGGTGATCGCAATGATGCCAGTATCAGAGCCACGCTCAAGGAGCACTGGTTATGGTCAGAGAGCCAACAGAATGAATGAACTGAACTGAGCAGGACTGGGCTGCTGGCCATGACCTGGAATCAGAGGACCTCATGGCCATTTGATCAGATTAGTCTGTGTTATTGTTGTTTGTTGGGTTTGGTTGGGGGGGTTTTGGTGGTTGTTTTTTTTAGGCAGTTTGAATTTAGAATCAGTTCTTGAGCTCTGTGGGAGCTTCACTTTGTGGGATTCTTGGCTGAGTCATCAGATATTTAACTGCAGCATTCCTAGGGTGATGGGAAGGTACAACCTGGGGTAGAGGGTGGTGGGGCCATCATGTGCCACTCTCCCTTTCTCCTCTCAGAACTTGTCCATCCCTCCGTTGGGAGCATAGATGTGAAGGAAGGGGTCTGTTGCTGCCCCAAAGGGCAGCTGGTGTTCCTTCAGAATCCACAGAGCTGCCCAGAGCTGCCTTTAGAATTGCAGTTCCACGGGGAGGGACTCAAATCAGTTCAGCATTCCCACCCCACCTCTGAGGCACCATCACATCCTGCCTGGAGTTCCTGTGCCTGACTCTTCACCTACCTGTCTCCTTCTTATCCCTCCCTCCCAACTCAGTTCAAATCTTACCTGCCCTGACCTTGTCTCCCAAGTGACTTGGCCCTCCCACAGTGAGTGACTTTTGGTCACATGCCATTACTTAATAGTCACAAAAGCTAACACCCAGGTAGTGTGCTTACTATAAGCCAGGCCCCGGTTCAAGCACTCTACCTATGTTAACTCGACACCATAACAACATAACAATTTCTAACAAGCTGCCAGGTGATAGCAATGCTCTTGGTCTGGGGACCACACTTGAGATGATTTCATTACAAATTAATTGGAAGTGCTGGGAACAAAAATCTGTGAGTCTAAAATGATAATGACAAAATTATAAGGAAAAGCAAACAAGAATAATTCTGTTGGTTTAGAACTTACAGTTTGCAAGGAATTTCAAAAGAGGGGTCGGAAGCTTAGGCAAGTATTATTATCTTTAATTTATGCAGGAGGAAACTGAGAGACGTTACATAACTTGCCCAAGGTCACAAAGCTGATGAGTGACAGAGCCAGTACTCAGACCCAGTTCAGCTCCAGAGTCACAGGAATGTATTATGTTCAGTGCATTGTGCTTTTTAACATTCTGTAATTACACATTAATTTTATTTGTTCATCGTATGTGTCCCTCACAGAAATGTAAGCATCTTGAGGGCAGGTGATTTGTCTGCTTTGTTTGTTTTACACCAAATACCTAGAAAAATGCCTACCATTTAGCAATAAATACTTGAACGAATGAATAATCCTAGCTGTGGATTCTCTTTCCGGAGCCACTTATCATAAAGTTATAGAGTTCTCATTATTGTGCAACAGCTGCTGGCAAACCTGGGACCCAGTCAAGAAGAGCAAACCCAGACCCAAGGGAGCTGCTGGACGGAAGGCTAGGCTCACTCCCTGAGTTCCCTCATACTACCCACAAGCTAATTCAAGTTCACAACTTGGGAAGCATTGAAACTGTTAAATCCTCAAGGGCTCAGAGGTTACTATCCTGAGCATTCATGCTAGACCAGGTGTTCAGTCAAATATTTGGGATACAAGGATAAGTACAAAGGCACAAGGACAAGTGAGACCCAGTGCTCTGGGGACACAGACGTCTGAGCAAAGAATTCTGCCCAGGGTGGGGGACTGTGTGTCAAAGTTATATAAATGGCCTAACTCTAAAGCTGAGCCATGAATGAAATCTTGCTGGAAGGGTTAAGTGTTTTGAAGGGGCAAACACACCATTTTGGCAGGGCTAGTATTTACATGATTATCAACATCTTGTTCTTAACTGTGACAAAAATCTATTCAGATTTTGAGTATCAGCCACAGGTTGTGACTTCAGATACTGTCTGGAAAAATAAAAAGGAGTCACTTTAAGGTAATTATCCAGATTATTCAGTTTCTCAGAATTTTAATTTCGTCTGAAATGTTCTGATACTTAAGGCTACAAAAACAAAAAGCATAGAAAGACAGTAGTGATTGATTTGAATTCCTAATCTTGCATATGTGGACAATCCAAAAGAATTTAACTTGAGAGTAGGAAAATGCAGGGTGGGCCCATGGGAAATAGTTCTTCCCATAGAGTGTGTTATTTTTTACGTAGAAGAGGGAATAGACTATTAAGAAAAATTATTTCTTCCAGGACAATCCCAAAAATGTTGCTGATGAACCACTGAAGAAATAGCTTTTCAGTGGTTCATCAGTTTAAACTGCATTGTTACATCTTAAACTAGTAAGATATTTCAAACACCAACATTTCAAATTGCTTCTAATTTGTAAAAACTGCTTCTATTTTAAATTGTATGATTCATGGGACTTTGGAAAGTTAAATTTTCATGAAATATTAAAATGGAATTCATGATTAGGATTTCATAAATGCATCAAAAACATTTTTCCTGGCATAAAAGTAGGCTGTAGGTTGCTGTATTACCTCATTTGAGGGTGGAGAGGTTGTGGATGCCAAGTCATCCGGGATGATTGGAGAACTCACGGGAAGAGAGACGGCTGACGTACATTTGCCCTTATTAATTTTCTCTTTAACATCTTCAAGTAGCATCTCCAACTTGAAGATTTCACCTTCCACTTCTCTAATAGACATAAACAGGCATCGTATTGGGTATGCAGTCAACATTCTAATTAGTAGCAACAGTTTGTGAATATAGCATTGATCTATATTATTAATGTGGTTTGGCTTCAGACAGGAAGGATAATGGACACCCGCCCTGACATGCATCCTGTTTATAGTCTCACTCCAAAGGCCTGGGCTCTAATCCTCATTTCATTATTCATTAGCTGTGTATCCTTGAGGAAAATCACTTAATCTTACTATGCCTCCAATGTCTCAGCTATAACATGGGATAACAATACTCTGCCCATCTGGATCTAATTATTTTGAGGTCCCTTACACTTCTAAGTGCTATGATTCTATGGAAATAATGATTTATATCAAATGAAAAGAGGAAGGACATGAAATATCTGAATAGTTTGATTAATAAGCTTGATCTATAGGCATATGTACATATATGTATACATGTATAAACAAATGTATATGTATAAATGTACACATAAATATAAATACCTAATTTCCCCGAGCCACTACATTTACGAAAATTTACCTCATATTAATCCACAAAGAAAAATCTCAACAAATTCCAAAACATTAAAAATTATACCACTGCTTTCTCACTAAGATCAGGAAAAGACACCACTCCTTTTCAACATTGTACTGGAAGTCCTATCTAATGTAATAAGACAAGAAAAGAAAATGTAAGGTACACAGATTGGAAAGGAAGAAATAAAAGTGTCTTTGTTAACAGATGAAAATCCAAAAGAGGGATCCCTGAGTGGCGCAGAGGTTTGGCGCCTGCCTTTGGCCCAGGGCGCGATCCTGGAGACCCGGGATCGAATCCCATATCGGGCTCCGGGTGCATGGAGCCTGCTTCTCCCTCTGCCTGTGTCTCTGCCTCTCTCTCTCTCTCTGTGACTATCATAAATAAATAAATTAAAAAAAAAATTTTTTTAAAAAAATAAAAAAGAAAATCCAAAAGAACTGAAAAACTAGAACTAACAGGCAACTATAGTGAGGTTGCAGGATACAAGGTTAATATATAAAAGTGAATCATTTAGCTATATATTATGAATGAACAAGTGCAATTTCAAATTAAAAATATCATTTACATTAAGATCCAAAAAATGAAATACTTAGGTATAAATTTAACAAAATATGTACAAGCTCTATATAAGGAAAACTATAAAACTGATGAATGAAATCAAATAACTAAATAAATGGAGAGATATTCCGTGTTTGTGGATAGGAAGATTCAATATTGTCAAGATGTCAGTGCTTCCCAACTCAATCTGTAGATTCAATGCAACCCTCATCAAAATCTTGGCTAGTTCTTTTATGGATATTGACAAAATGACTCTAAAGTCTATATGAAGAAACAAAAGACTCAGAATAGCCAACACAATATTGAAAGACAAGAAAAAGTTGGAGGACTGATTACCCAACTTCGAGACCTACTATAAAGCCACAATAATCAAGGCAGTGTGGTATTGGCAAAAGACCATACAAATAGATCAATCAGTGGAACAGAATAGAGAACCCAGAAACAGACCCACGTAATTATAGTCACCCTATCTTTGACAAAAGAGCAAAGGCAATGCAATGGAGAAAAGATAGTCTTTTCCACAAATGGTGCTGGAACAATTGGATAGCCACATGCAAAAAAATGAATCTAGACACAGACCTTATACCCTTCATAAAAATTAACTCAAAAATGCATTACAGACCTAATGTAAAATGCAAAAGTGTAAAACTCCTAGAAGATAACATAGTAGAATTATCTGATAATCTTAGGTATGGTGATGACTTTTGAGATACAAAACCAGACACCATCCGTGAAAGGAATAATGATAAGCGAGACTTCACTAAAATTAAAACTTCTGTTCTGTCAAGAAAATGAGAAGATAAGCCACAGAGCCAAGAGACAATATTGGCAAAAGACTGATAAAGATAAAGAACCATTATCAAGGACACCTGGGTGGCTCAGCGGTTGAGTGTCTGCCTTCAGCTCAGGGCGTGATCCCCAGGTCTGGGATCAGGTCCTGCATTGGGCTCCTTGCGGGGAGCCTGCTTCTCTCTCTGCCTATGTCTCTCTCTCTCTCTCTCTCTCTGTATCTCTCTGTATTTAATAAATAAATAAAATATTTTTTAAAAAAGAATCGTTATCCAAAATGTACAAAGAACTCTTAAAACTCAACAATAAGAAAACAAACAACCCAATTTTAACGTGCTACAGACCTTAATAGACACCTCACCAAAGAAAATATACAGATGGGAAATAAGCCTATAAAAAGATGCTCCACACCATATATCATCAGGGAAATGCAAATTGAAACAACAATGAGATGCCACTATATGTTAGTAGAATTGCTAGAATATAGGATGCTAACAACACTAAATGCTGACACGGATGTGGAGCAATAGGAACTCTCATTCATTGCTGGTGGGAACTGAAAATGGTACAGCCACCTTGGAAGACAGTTTGACAGTTTCTTTCAAAACTAAATATATTCTCACCATTTCATTCAAATACTTCTTGGTATTTACCCAAAGGAGTTAAAAGTTATGTCGACACAAAAACTTGCACACAGATGTTTATAGTAGCTATATTCATACTTGTCAAAACCTGGTGGCAACCAAGATGTCCTTCAGTAAGTGAATGGATAAGTAAACTGGTACATCTAGACTGGAATATTATTCATCACTAAAAAGAAATGAGTTATCAAGTCATGAAAAGACATGTAGGAACCTTAAACACATATTACTAACTGGAAGAAGCCCAATCTGAAAAGTCTACATATTGCATGATTCCAGCTGTGTGGCACACTCCGGAAAACGCAAAACTATAGCAACAGTAAAAAGATCAGTGATTGCCTCGGTTGGGGTCGGGGGAGGGATGAATAGGTGAAGTACATAGGATTTTCAGGACAGTGAAAATTCTCTGTATGATGCCACAAAGATGGATGCAAGTCATTATACATGTGTTCAAAACCATAGAATGTACAGCACCAACAGTAAACCCCAATGCAGACTATGGTCTTTGGATAATTATGATTTATCTGTGTAGGTTCATCAGTTGTAACAAATGTACACTTTGGTGGGGGATGCTAATAATGGGAAAGGCTGTGCATGTGTGCAGGCAGAGATATATGGGAAATCTCTCTACCTCCCTCTCAATTTTCCTGTGAAGGTAAAGATGCTCTTAAAAAATAAAGTCTAAAAAAATTATACCACTGACATTCTTTGATCATTGGGAAGTAATAACAAAAATATGGCAACAACAGCAATAAAAAAACTAATTGGAAATTTTAACATTCATACTAATAACTCTTGGGTTCCTAGGAAATAAAAATAGAGATTAGGGATACTCTACAAGTGAGTAATAGATGAGAAAACAACATGTAAAACCAATATAATGTAGCTAGTGCAGTACTTTGAGGAAAACTTATAGCTTAAAATGCATCTAGTAAAGGGAAATGTTCAAAATAAATGATGTAAATATTCAAAACAGGAAGACAGAAAAAGAACGACAAGATAAACCCCCTTAAAGGAGAAATAAATGAAACTGAAAAGAGACCAATAAAACAAAAACATTTTCTTTGAAAATATCTATATAATAAACCAGTAAAAAGTCTGACTGAAAAGCATAAGTAACAGTAAGAATGAAAAAGGAAAGATAGGGATGTCTGGGTGACTCAGTGGTAGACTGTCTGCCTTTGGCTCAGGTGGTGATCCCCATGTCCTGAGATCAAGTCCCATATCAGGCTCCCCACATGAAACCTGCTTCTCCCTCTGCCTATGTCTCTGTCTCTCTGTCTGTGTCTCTCAGGAATAAATAATTAAAAAAAAAGAATGAGAAAAGAAAACAGAAGAAAAAATTTTAATTTTAATCAAATAAGATTGACCAACTCTATGCCTACACAGTTTAGAATCTAGATGAAATGGACAAGTCTCTAAGAAAACATAAATTAGGGCAGCCCCCGTGGCACAGCGGTTTAGCGCCGCCTGCAGCCCAGGGTGTGATCCTGGAGACCCGGGATCAAGTCCCACATCGGGCTTCCTGCATGGAGCCTGCTTCTCCCTCTGCCTCTCTCTTAGCTCTCTCTGAATGAATAAATAAATAAATCTTTAAAAAAAAAGAAAACATAAATTATTAAAAATCTACTCAAAAAGAGGTAGGAAATCTGAAAAAAAAACAGAGAAAAAAAATAGAAAAGATTATTGAGAATCTATCCCCTAAAAAGGTACCAAATACAAGTAGGATTATGAGTTCTAGAAAGACTTTTAAGTAACCTTTTTGTTTTCTTTTTTTAAAGATTCATTTATTTATTATTTATGATAGACACAGAGAGAGAGAGAGAGAGAGAGAGAGAGAGGCAGAGACACAGAAGGAGGGAGAAGCAGGCTCCATGCTGGGAGCCCGACGCGGGACTTGATCCGGAGACTCCAGGATCGTGCCCTGGGCCAAAGGCAGGGGCCAAACCGCTGAGCCACCCAGGGATCCCCTAAGTAACCCTTTTGGAGCATAAAAAGAAAAGGGAAAATTTCCCAAATCATTTTATTGTTAAATATTAGGGTATTTATTGATATATGTTATTATATTAATAGATTTAGGAAATAAACTAAATAGATCTCTACCTCCCATTTGATTAAACATTTTCCTAAATTAAAAAAATATACTCCTAATAAAGTAGGAGTAGAAGAAAACTTTCTTGATAAAGCTTATCTACTTGAAACTACAGCAAGCGTCATACTTGGAAAAAAAATTCCCCTTAGTGTTCAGAACATGATAAGAATGATTGCTTTGCTGCTATTATTTATCATTGTTTTAGAAAACCTAGCAAATAAAATACACTAGTAAAAAGAAATGTGATATATAAGAATTGGAGGGAAGAAAAGATAAAGTATAAATATTTAGGAGGGAACTGGGAGAGAGGCGAACCTATCATTATTTTCAAATCCTATGACTGTCATACCTAAAAACTAAGACAATCAACAAACAGAACAGAATTGGGTAAGGTGGCCCAGCACAAATTGAATATATGATTTTTCTTTGTTTCTTGTATATCAATTATGGAAAACATCTGTTACTCATGTTCAGAAAACCTATAAAATACCTAGGAATAAGTCTAACAAAATATACATGAAATCTACATGAAGAAAACACACTCCTGGATGGGAACACTCATCGCAAGGTTTCAACTCTTTAATCTGTAAATTCAACACAATCCTGAACAAAATTCTAGTGGAATTTCATTAAGGAAGTTCGGCGAGCTGATTATAAATTTTATGGGTAAGAAGAGTGCAAGAACAGCTAACAAAATTTAAAGAATAAATATTTCAAAATATACACTGCACTGCAGTCATTTAAAACTGTGTGGTTAATGTGGAAATAGAAACGTAACTCAGTGGGATAGAAGAGAACCAGTCCCGTCTACACGTGAAGAGGTTTTTTTTTTTTTTTTTTTTTTTCTTAATAGGATAAAAGTGGCTTTTCTACCCAGTGGAAAAGCCTGCTCTACTCAGGAAGCAGCAGGAGAAAGATCTCAGCATGGAAAGCTATATTCATCATCAAGTAAAAATATAGGAAAATATGCTCTAATCTAGCAAGTGAACAAGAACTGAGCAGAGGACAAGGAGAGGCTGAAAATCTGAAGGAAGTAAAATGGTGGAGCAAGGCCTGAAGGTCGTGGGAAGAAATGGGTTTAAGGACCATGGCCATGTGGGTTGGAAGTGAGTGAGGAAAGAAAGAGGAGGTGAAAACATGCAGATCTGGAGGTGGGGAAAAGACATTTTTTAAAAAGTTGATTTATCTTTTAGTTATCTCTACATCCAACGTGGGGCTTGAACTCACGACCCTGAGATCAAGAGTCACCTATTCTCCCAACTGAGCCAGCAAGGTGCCCAGGAAAAGACATTTTTGAGGGAATTTGTGATCTTTTCTGCAAAGCAGAAGACAAGCTGATATCAGAGAGAAGTAATTGGTGGAGGCAGGGCCCCATTTCTTGGCCCCCTGGCTTCTGGTGTTAGCATGTGAAATGACCATCAGACTGCTTTCTGACAAGATGCATGTAATAAAATAACTATTTTTGCTTATTACCCTTTAAAAGCAACAATAAGGTTTTCACAAGAGCACATAGTGGACTTAAGCAAGTAATTAGTCAGTGAATCTGCAGAATTCTTTCCCTTGCAATGGCCTTTGGACTCAACACTTAGAAGGTTCTGGACAGTTAATTGTATGGGTTTCTGCTCCTTCCCACATTATGCCTATGTGAGAACAAGAGGCCCAGTGTCAAGCTGGGTAACCTCACTTGTTCTGACATGGTTTTAACTCAGTTTGAGGAGAGACTGGGTCCTTCCCTTGCCCCAGTACTGAAAGCTTTTCCTGTATCTGGGATATAATTGCAGTTGAAACTCTTGATTTATACTGGGTCCAGCACACTGTGGGTGTAACTAGGATATAAATACGGCGTTGCATAACTTTGGTCTTACTGCACACAGAGGCCTGACTTTAAAATGACTGCTCAGACAAGTGGATTCCTTGGAATAGAAATATCCTCCCTCTATTAGTTTTTAAATAAATAGTGAAAATATGTAGAGATCTTTCTTTCCCACAAAACAAAATAAACCTTTGGGGCGGGGGGAAAGAAGTCAATATTAAAACCTCATCCTTGCTGTCTAATTACTCCGTGTTGAAATAACAGTAGACAGAGATTCCGTTCATCTTAAGAAAGTAAAATTGTACTTTGGGGAAAAAAACACCTCAGGACATGAATGCCAAAATATAACCCATTCAAGTAATCTGGCATCAAGAATGATTCCATGTTAAAACGCTATGAATAGAAAGGGCTGAATTTACAAGGATTAAGCCTCCTGAATGAATTCTTTTAAACCATACCAGGAAATTAAATGGAAACAATCCTAGCCTTAAGTCCTGGAATACATCTTAAAATTATTTGGGTTGGAGAGAGAGGAGCGCAGGGCCAGAAAACATGGCCAGTTGGAAACTTCAGTGAGTTTGCTTCCAAGTTTCTAATGTGAATTAACTCAGAAGTCATTTTCCCTCTAAGCTTTAATATTGTCCCTTTATGGGGATCTGTGGGTCCCTCAGCCCCACATTAACCAACCTTACAATGGTGCTTTTGTGCCCACTGCCCCTCTGGAATTATCTGTGGATGGTAAAGAGGGGGACAGAAGAACCAGCCAGGGGGAATAGAGGCAGGACATGAGGAGCTTGGAGAGAAGGCTCTCTGGGGTGAACGTGTGAGCCCTTCTAGGGTTTTCTTGTGCTGTTCCGGGTCTCAGAACCAGTTCTGACACCCAACAAAGGACAAGATTGTGGTACAAAATCTGTCCCCCAGGAGACAGCTGTTCCTCTCTAGGCCTCCATCCGGGTCAGTGCCCAACACAGGACTTCATATGTAGCAGGAATTCTGCGCTGCGTGTCACCAGAGGGTAAAAGTGGCACTGGTGGCACACTTTTAGCTGATCCTAGATCAGGGGCTGTGCAGGCATGAAGCCAGCAGCCACATCAGAATCCCACCTGAAGGAGGTTGCCTCTGCCCCCTCCACCTCACACAGTTTAAGCCTGACCTTTCTGGATCAAAGTCACCGACAGCTGGGGATTCATGCCTGTGAACCTGCTTCAAAGTCAGATGCTTCTCCTTGTTGTCCAGAAACTCCTGCTCCAGCAGTTCAAGGTGTCCCTGTAGCTTCTCCAGGACCTGCAGCAGTGAAGTCACCAGAATCATACACATGTAAGCCTCTGCATGTGGTTGTTTCCCCCAAAATACAAGGAGGGTGTACTCTACAATCGGTTCAAAATGAAGTCACCATCCTTCTCCTGGCAATTGTTTTGTTTCAGAGTCTGGCCTCTAAAATGCAGACAATCCGAAAAGCCACCTCCATGTTTACAACATCCTCCTAGCACACAGCCTTTTCAGCACGCTGACCTGATTTCTCTCGCAGAACCCCATCAGGGGCCTCTGAACTCCCCTAATAGGATGTCAATAATCTGCGCTTTTGCAGAACGAGTTTTAGCTTATAGAGCACTTTCCTGTGCATTATCTTAGTTAATCCACACATCAATGTTGTCAATGTTGCAAAATAGATTTTATTATCTCAGTTGCATACAGGAGGAAACCAGAGCTCTAGGAGTGATGTCTGAAGCTACATAGACCTTAGAAGGGACTGATGTGAGAGGACCCGAGTTTAAGTCTATGGCATGTGGAGTGTGAGATGGGGAAGGGACATCAGGAAGTTTAGCCAGCGTTTCGAATGGGTCTTTGAGACATCCATACACACAGTTTTGGGCAGATGAATACTTACACCATGCAAGTTAAGGTCTGGTCTTGATGTGTAGAAGCTTTAGCTCCCTGAGTACTGCCTGGGTGTGGCCCTCAGCCAAAGTATGAGAAAGAAAAGTTATATCAGGCACAACAATACCTGGTCTCAGAGATTTTATTCCAGTTGGGATAAGAGACTGGATTTGAGGATTTTGCCACGGTTCAATAGAAGAAGTGAGACCTAAGTCAGGCTTGAAGAATGCTCAGGAGGGCCTGGACCAGGCAGTGTTCATGAACATGGAAAGCAAGAAATGACTGGTGAGATATTGCATATAACACAATGGGGTTATGGGATCAGACATTCCAGGGTTCAAGTTCAGACTCTTTCACCTAATAATTGTGTGATGTTAGTCAGCTTGAACTCTGAACTTCAGTTTTGTCATCTGAGATAAAAATAGCCTTCACCTCATACTGTGAAAATTAAATGAGTTCATGCTGAGTGCCAGGATTTCTGATTTCTAAAATCGGATTTCTGATTTTAATTCCGATTTCTAAAAATGAAAAAAAAAAAACAAGTTTGGAAACATATTGGCTAAAGGACATACAAAATGGCAGGTGTGGTCGATGTTTTCCATGTGCCCTACCCCCAGATTCATCCTCTGTCTTTTCTGCGAGCCAGCCGGGAGGCTGACCTTCAGTGGACCACCTCTACAGCTCCCTCACCCCAGCATTGGTTTCAGCCAATGGAAGGCAACAGGAGAAGAGAGAAATGCAGAAGGATGAGGGAGGGGTCTCTATGTCCCTGATGTCCTCCTGCCTGTATCAGCTACTCCTGCAGCGATAGCTACTCTCCCTGGGCTCCAAAATATGCTCTTCCTCCTCCCCTCTGCCCCACTGTTCTTACCAGCACTGTTGTAAAATGATGCCTTAGTAAACTCTCCTCGGTTGCTCCACTGGAGTAAACCACCAGGGTCTTGTGAGGACCCTGACTGACACTGTAAATCTCACAGACAAAGCTCAGGCTTCCAACTCGGGAGGCAGAAAAAATGCGAAACCCAACTTAAAATGAGGAATTTGAAAAAGCTAATGGATCTGAATGAAGCTGTCAACGTTAGACCAGTAGAATTTTCAGTGAGAGCAGGAGAACCAAGTGGAGATACCCACAAGCATTTGGAGCTGTGGATGAGAAGTTAGGACCAGTAATTTAAGAATTGGTAGATGGAATGGCAGTGAAAACCTTGAGAAGGAATTAGGTGTTCAAGGGAAAGAGAAAAGAGAGAAAGCCAGTCACAAGTTGTAACTTAAGATCTTGGGATTTAAATTGTGTTCTCTCTCAGAAGAGAAGGCATGGTTTTCTAGCCATAAATTACCTCCTGTAATTCTCACAGGAACTCTGAGATGGGAAGACACACCACATGCCTTAGGTCATAACCACCAACACATAGAGCCAGCATATCTGCTCCAACATCCAACTGCTTTCCATCCTGTGGTGCTGCTCATGCTGACGTTAGTTTTAGCTCTGCTGACCTTCTTCCAGCACTGAACCAAATGGATCTGGAACTCTCAGGCCAAGGCTGACGCTGTGTGGAGTCACCTTGACTCTCTGTCCTAGCATGAATCCCCACACGTCCTCTAGCATCAAGGAGAAACTTCCTGGATCAAAGCCGCAGAAGGCAGGTGCCTAGAACCAGTTCCCTCTGCTTTGTTCAGCCCTTTGAAAATCTGCGTTCCCCTGTTCCTGAGAGCCCAGGGTTTTTTGCTCTCTCCTTTATCATTCACTCCTCAACTCCTGCAATCTGGCTTCTACATACCTACCATTTTATTGAAACCAGGTTTGCCAAGGTCCCTCGTGATCTCGTGGTTGCTGAATCCAATGCACTCCTTGATTTGACATTTCCCCTTGTTTTCTTTCTTTCTTTTTTTTTTTTTGTCCGATTGTATTTATTTATTCATGAGAGACACAGACAGAGAGGCAGACACAGGCAAAGGGAGAAGCAGGCTCCATGCGGGGAGCCCGATGTGGGACTCGATCCGAGGACCCCGGGATCAGGCCCTGGGCCCGAGGCAGATGCTCAGCCTCTGAGCCACCCAGACATCCCTTCTTTTGGCTTTAACAGCTCTGCCCCCTGTAGGTCCACCTTGACCTTTCAGGCCACTCCTCGTTGGTCTCCGTTGAGGACCCCTCTTCTTTAACCTGCCTCTGCGGATTCTTTCCTTTCACTTCTTTACTGCTTACTTTGCATGTTGCCTGGGCAATCTCATAGACTTCATAGCTTCAACCCACAGCTAGACCCAAATTCACCTTTCTGGCCCGAACAACTCCTCTAAGGCCTAGATCCACTGATTTAATTGCCTACTGGATCTCTCCAGTTGGATGTCCTATAGGGATCTCAGCATGAACTTGGCACCTTGTCTCCTGCTTGCCTCCCACACCCGTTAGGAACTGGATTTTCCATTTTTAGTCCTGACCTTGGTTGCCCAAGCTAGAAATCTGAAACTCATCCAAGCCTCCTCCCTTCCTTTATTCACCGGTCTTAATCTGCCACCACTTTGTTAAACTCTTAGATTTGTTCCCCTCTCTATACTCATCGCCAATATTGTTTCAGGCCCTCATAACTTGTTACCTGGAGTATGACTTCCTAGCTATAGCCTTGCCCCCAGGGGCTCGCCACTCCTTGGCTTTCAATACTCCAATGTTGCCCCATCACTCAATTTCAGGACCAAATCTAAGCTCCTTATCATGTGTGTAAAGGTCTTGCATGATGTAGTCCTAACTCTCCCTCTAGTTTCCTCCTTTTCTCTTCACCACATGTACCCTGAGCTCCATCTGGCCAATTAAAATGCCATACATTTCCTTAAACTATCAGCACTTTCTGCCCCCTGTGCCACTGTACCTGCTGATTCCTTTTCTTGGAGCACCCCCTTACCCCTACTTTGCCAGTCTCACACATATTCATCCTACACTATCAAGCTCAGAGGTCAATCACTTCTAGGGAGCCTTCCAAAGTGCCCTCTAATTGGCAAGGGTGAGCTTCTCTGAGGCTGCTATTAGCATCGTATGTAACATTTCTTAGGCTTCATGCTGTTTGTCTATTTACCAATCTGTTGTTCCTAGAAGACTGTCAGCCGCTTGAAATTGCTCTTTCATCTCCAAATCCCTAACACCTAGTACAAAGTCTGGGACATAGGAAGTACCTGATAAGTGTGTGTTGAATGAATGAATGAGTTATTTAATTAATTCAATGAGTGAATGAATAATGCACTGTGTCTCTTAACATTGGAGTCTTCCTAGTTTTTGTCTATGCTGTCTGGTTTCTACTGCATAGCCTACCCCGAGTTTTGTTTTGGTTCTTCACATCAGGACTTCTGACCACCTGCCTTCTGACCACCTGTTGCTGACCTAATGGCCTGAGCGACATATTTGACCTTGCACATTTCTGGCTCCGGTAATCTCAGCTTTTTACCCCGTTGCCATGTTCCACCCCCCACTTCCCACAACCCTGGCACTGAAGAACAAGGCTGTGTGGTTACAATATAAATTAGTGATTTGATGAAATGCAACAACAAGTAAGAATGGGAAAGTCACAGATTTTGATCTGAAAAGCATAGCTTTAAGATCAGTTTAAGTTTTCAAAGTTTTATATACTGAGTTTTCAGATACTGTCACATTTTATAAACATATCCCCCAAGACCCAACAACTCTGGATGAGTTTGCCCTTTATAATAACTGACATGTTATTCTTTTAAGGCTACTATGGTCTCAGATTTATTGTGGGGTGACTGCTAAGAAATAATAGCCATAAGTAACAGATTCACCTAAGAATGAGAGAAGGCTAAATAACTATAGAAATATAGTTTTAAGCTCTTTCAGCCCCAGTAACACAAAGCTCTTGAGCCTCAAATAACCAACGAGATACTCAGCCTCAGCGTGTTGGGAGGTTGGGTGGGGGCAGATGGGAAGATGGGGAAAGGGAAAAAATGTAAATTAAACACTGACAACATTTTGTACTGGTTACCAAATATATCAAGCTTGAAATATGTTTTTATTTTTTATTTATTTTTTTGAAATATGTTTTTAAATCTTAATTTAAGTCAGCATTAATAATTAAGGACATAATATATGTAAGACACAAAGCCAGGCCTCTTGAGGTTACTGTCCTTAATCTTCAGCAAAGCATTTCCACCCCCACCAATGTAGAGAAAACATGGTGCTATAAAGTCATTTATATTTACTCATGTCAAGTTCCTTAACAAAGATGTTTAAAACTGAATAAAATTTATTACCAGTTTCTTGTCTTGCAAATGATAGGGAGCATCCTGTGCTATGCTTTTGGAAAATTCTTGTACCTGCAGTGGAAAAATGCAATGATTCGTTAATGGCATGATGTCTTATGTCTGAATTTGGTCTTCTATTGGCCATAATTAGCTTTAAAAATATTACTTTAATCTTCAGTTGATCAGTCTGTTCTTTTAACTTCTGGCACATCTGTTTCCCTCGGGTTATCTTTTGAAATATGTACGAAGAACTTGGGGAAGGGTCTTTCTGAGAGGTTGATGACACCTTAAAGAGACTGGCCTCAGATTCTATTCCTGTATAAGAAAGAATAAGTTTTGGCTTCCATTTGTCTCAACTTCACCGCAGACTTATTAAGTACTAAAAATAGAAGTCTGTAGCAACCACCACCATTTGCTATTAAAAAAAAGTTTTCAAAATGTATATCTAAATCAAAAAGGTTTAAAAATGTTAGTACCTAGGGCTCCTGGGTAACTCAGTTGGTTAAACATCTGATTTTGATTTTGGCTCAGGTCATGATCTCAGGGTCAAGAGAGCAAGCCTGGCATCTGATTCCATGATGGGCGTGGAGCCTGCTTAAGATTCTCTCTCTCTACCTCTCCCTCTGCCCCTCCATCCATCTCCTCTGCTCCCCCCACACAAAAAATAAAAAAATAAAATTAAAATGTTAGTACCTGTGAGATATTCTTGGTGAATATGTATTGTGGGTTCCATCTGTACAAAGTATAAGAAACATTATTTATTGTTGATGAAACTGGTCAATGACGCCATTATTCCAAGCGATCCAAAATGTTGTGGTCATCATGGGGGCATCCCAGAATTGTGTCAAGAGCTGAGTCCCTGGTGCCAAGGTTGAATTCTACTCTGACACATATCTGCTGGGTGACTCAAGGCAATTACTCCATGAACCTCAAATTCCTCAACAATGAGGATAGAAATAGAACCTACCTCCTAAGGTTGTTATGAGGATGAAATGAAATAATATCCGGTACATGGTAAGCATTCCTAACATGCCAGCTGTTACTACTACCATGTTTGATGCTATTATGGGAAATACTGAAACATTTTTCCTAAAACTGTTGTCACCAGCTCTGTTGCTTCTGCTATCACTAATATCATGCACAGTAACCATTCGTTGGAAAATAACATAAAAAAATACGCATTAAGTTCCAAAATGTGAGTCAAGATAGTGATTGTTTACTCACCACAGACAAACAGGACAGGAGCTTAAATTCTAGAGTGACCCACCTTGAGGGTCTTCCCACTATTCTCAACACATAAAAGCTCAGAAACACGCTAGTACCCGAGAACTCAACAGTGGTGGTCGAACTAGACTTTGGTTATTATGAATATCTCAATTGTATGGTGGATAGTCTAGTTCCTCAACCTAAATTGACAACCCTAGAGAAAAATCAGACACCTGACTTTGAACTGCCACTGCCAGGGAGGGGTGCCTAACATCCATTCTGCTCCTACACTGAGGACTTGCACACCCAGGGGTGTTTTTCTGCAAGCAGAATGAGAACCTCTGAGACTTGCCAGTGTCAGACACAGAAACATTATGAGTCAAGGCCAGGTGGGCTGCCGGCTTCAGGTGTGTGTGTGGGGGGGGGAGAGCGGGTGTGTGTGAGTGTTCTGCTCAAGCTTCCCAGAGCATTCAACCAAAAGAGAAGGGAGTTGAAACATGAAGGGGTGGAAATGGAAACAGGCAGAGAGTGTTCAGTCCAAAGTGTCTTCATACAAAGCTTAAGGGAAAGATCATCCTTTGATGGCAAAGTGCCAGAGAACTAAAATGCTAACAACTGAACCTCAAATAATCAATGAGATCCCAAGCCCCAATGTGTTGGGAAGTTGGATGGGGGGATGGGAAGATGAGGAAAGGAGAAATAGTATAACTTAAACATTAACAAAATTTGGTCTTCGGGGGCACCTGGCTGGCTCAATCGGTAGAGCACGAAGCTCTTTATCTTGGGGTCGTGAGTTTGAGCCCCATGTTAGGTGACGAGATTATTTAAAAAATAAAATCAAATCCCAATGTAAGTGTTAAAAAATGTGGTACTTAATAGTTACCAATATAGCCAGCTTGGAATAAGTTCTTAAAGGTCTTAATTTGATTTGATTTAGCATTAATAACTATCATTAATAATAATAAGGGTGTAATGTATGGAAGACAGAAGGCCAGGCCCCTGGGGGAATTAGGCAATGGAAAGATGAAGACAAGGTTGCTGCCCTCCAGAGTACTCAAGTCTAGTGGAAGAAACAGATATTCCCAAATTACTATGATCCAAAGCAGGCTGAGATAAATGTTCTGACAGAAACTTAAACAACAGGGGATCCCTGGGTTGCTTAGCGGTTTGGCGCCTGCCTTTGGCCCAGGGCGCGATCAGGCTCCCGGCATGGAGCCTGCTTCTCCCTCCTCTTGTGTCTCTGCCTCTTTCTCTCTCTCTCTTTCTCTCTCTCTATCATAAATAAATAAATAAATCTTAAAAAAAAAAGAAACCTAAACAACAGAGGATATGAAGGACTAACTGGGGATGGGAATGAGTGTCAGGAAAGTCACGCAGTCAACTGGCAATTGAAGGAGGCCATGAAAACAAGGAGGTCTTTGATAAGCAGAGGTGGGATGTTCCACGTGGGGCAGGAGCTCAGAGGGTACAGGGCCAGAGAGCTTGGGGACCAGCCAGGTCACTGAGGATGACTCCTGGGGGACGAGAACTAAGTTTATAGGGGTAGGATGGAGCCAAAAACATGGGGAAACTCAAATTCTAGGTCAAAGAATTTGGAGTTTATTCTCTGATGGTGTTGTTTTTTGTCTAGCCCCTGATTCTTCTCAGGAAGACACCTTCTGAGCTTCTGACCAGGTCAAAGACTAGAAGTCCTTTCCATGTGCCTCACAAAGACTCACACAGATATGGATGAGCAGTGGCCCCGAGTATGCATTTCCTAGAGATTGCTTTCACTTACCTCTACCTGTTGTGAAGATTCAGCACTTTTCCTTTTCTGTTCTTGTTTTTCAATACAGTTTGACCTAGACATGCTTTCTAAAATATCTTGTACAATAACTGACTTATCTCTCAATTTAGGAGAAAAGCTGGCTTGTTTATCTATTGTAAGGGGTTTATTAATTATGTTGTTTTTAGGGTTTTTCACTTTGGGTGCAACCTTAGAGAAATCAGATAGCTGGTAAAGAACCTGACCATGGCCATGTTTGAACCCATTGCCTGAAACTGCTTTTTCAGTCTGCAGTTTCTGGGGTGGCTGCCCTTGGCAACTTTTTGGTTTATCATGTGGACTCCTGATTTTAGTTAGAAAATTTAAAGTTTCTTGATGGCTGCTCTCTCCAGCAGCCTGTATATCAGAGGTGTTTTCTTCTGTCATAGTTAGAGAACAACAGGGCACATTGCTGTGTTCACCATCCCTTTTGGGGCTCAGTTGGTCTGTGAGTTCTGGGGTTTGTTCTTTTGGCCAAGAATTCTTAACATGGCACAAAATAATGTTTTTAATAATAGCTTCATCAGAACTGTCAGCATCAGCAATCTCTGGGAGAGTTTCACAGTTAATGCCTTGACCTTTTAAGAATTCCTCATTGGAAAGGTGATGGAGTAAAATATCAGAAATGTTTGACTTTGAAGGGTCTCTTTCATTAGTCAGAATGTCAAGATTTGTGATAGATTGCTTCTCTGTATCATGGTTTTTGTTGATAACAGTTTTAGTCATTTTACCCAGAGTCATGATTATGTCTGCATTTCTGCAAGTCCCTTTATATGTAGCCTTTCCTTGAGGGTCATCTACTGTTAAACTAATTTGATTTGAGACATCAAGGATGTCATTTTTTGAGGTAAAATTATAATCATTGTATATCTTAGTTTGGGAGAAATCCCCATCATAAGGCAAATCTTTTGGTTGCTTAGAAGTTGTAGCTTCTGAGAAATTGGCTTTGTCCATGTATGACATGTCCATGTCCATGCAGCCTGACCTCCTTTGTCCTTTGTTGCCTGTTCTTGATGCTAATTGTAATAGTAGATCTTCTGGTTTTCATTGATTGTCTTCATTGCATGTCCTATTCTGTACAAAATGAGAAGAACCTCATTGTTAAATATACTGGAATAAGGTATGAAACTATGCTTATGTTGCTATTTATGCCAAAACAAAATGGATGCTTTTCATTTAGGGAAATTCTGTTACAACCATGTATGCAGAATGCTCAGCCAAGTGATATATAAGCAAGGAAAAAAAAAGTTTGGGAGTATATTTAAAATTTTTTATTTATTGAATTTTGGGGGAGAATTTGGTCTCTGGTCTCCCAAATATTTATCAATTTCTCCTTAGAAATGCTATTTGGAATTTATTCTACCCGAATAGGAGCTTAGGAAGCAAGTGAAAGATTGTTATTTTAAAGTGCCAGAGGGCGGGGAGGGGGCAGCAGGCCTGGGCCTTCCCCGCCTCAAAAAAATAAATAAATAAAATAAAATAAAATAAAATAAAATAAAATAAAATAAAATAAAATAAAATAAAATAAAATAAAATAAAATAAATATAATAATCAGTAAAATAAAATAAACTGCCAGGGATTGCATGGTACTGAAAGTTGGCTCAGCTCAAATATAACCACCAGCCTTCTCTGCTTTGGTGTTGTTGTTTTTTTCCATCTGTCCCTCCAGACGTTCTGGTCCCTGTCCTTTTCCCCCTTTCTCCTGTATGTTAAAGAAAGGCAGAGGACTAATAGAAACAGGACCAAGGAACAAAAAGTGCTTTTGAACGCCAGCCTCCCTTTTCTAATTAAAACCTGGGCAGAACCCAGAGAGGACAGGCTACTTTGCTCTGAGCAGTCCCACCTGGTTGCCACAGCCTGGTTGCAGCAGTGTATCTTAGGGGCACTTCAGAAAATGGTCAGAGCAAAACTATCTGCCATTTGATATCGGTATTTCTTTTTCTTTCTTTTTTTTTTTAAACAAACTCGGAAACATCCATTTAGATATCTCTTTTTGACTTGCAAACTTTTGGAACAACTCCTTAGAAGCAGTAAGATTTCCTCCAGTTTTAAATGGAGTAATTGAAGCTCTGACTCAACCAGGGGATCTGAAGCCACCAGCTCCCTCCTTTGCTCATATAATGACAGGGTTGAATGAGTGGATCTCTGAAACTGTCTCCTCCTCTAAATTTTTATGAGTCTGTGAACTTGTGGTTTATTAGATAATCTGAAAATCTAAAATAATATGTTTAACCCCCTCAAAATGAGCTAATTCTCCAAGAAAAAGAGTAGTATAAACTAAATGTGGTAAAGACATTTATAGAACATTGTTCAAAAATCTTAATTTATAGATACGTGCTGATGTTAAAGAACTCAAATCAAAAAGATAATTTGTTTAAAGTGAAGGGGCGGGAAGGGGGAATGGAGGGAGGGAGAAGAAGGGAAGAAGGGGAAGAGGAAGAAGAAGAGGGGGAGGAGGGAATAGGGAGAGTAGGAGGATGGGAGAAGGAGAAGAAGAAGAATCACTGTAGGATTAATTTAAATTATTTAGAGCCTAATATTTACTGTAAAGTGAGGTATATCTTCATAAACAGAATTATACGTTACTCCAACCCAAATTGAAGAACAAGGGAAAATGTTTCCCAGAAAAGTCAAAAAAACATTGTGGAAAAGCAAGAATTGAGAGATATAGATGTGAATTCCAGCTTCTCTACCTATTAGCTATATGCCATCAGGCAAGTTACTTAATTTTCCTGAGTCCTAGTTTCCTCTTCTGAAAAATTAGAATAATAATATCTAGTTCATAGGGTTGCTAGAAGAAGCTCTTGGCACAGAGTAAAGCTCTTGGCACAGAGTAAGCATTCAATTAAGGGTAGTTTATTTTTTTTTAATTTTTTTATTTATTTATGATAGTCACACAGTGAGAGAGAGAGAGAGGCAGAGACACAGGCAGAGGGAGAAGCAGGTTCCATGCACCGGGAGCCTGACGTGGGATTCGATTTCGGGTCTCCAGAATCGCTCCCTGGGCCAAAGGCAAGCGCCAAACCGCTGCGCCACCCAGGGATCCCTAAGGGTAGTTTAAAAATGAAAAAAGAGTCTCAGTGTTGAAATACTGAAGAATGCTCAGATACAGAAGACTAGGTACTCTATTTGTGCAGATATTTAAAGGATAAGGGAAAAAATAGTGTATATAAGACATGATCTGTATAAGAGTTTTAAAACTATTTTTAAAATCTACCTGTAAATGAATATATTGTTTGATGGTGAAACTATCACTAAATAAATTTAAATAGAATGTGTCTAAGATATCCAAATGGCCAACAGGTACATGAAGAAATATTCAACATCACTCATTATCAGGAAATGCAAATCAAAATAACAATGAGATATCACCTCACACCTGTTAGAATGGCAATCATCAATAAGACAACAACAAATCTTGGCAAGGATGTGGAGAGAAGAGAACCCTTGTAACACTGTTGGTGGGAATGTAAATTGATTCAGCCACTATGAAAAACAATATGGAGTTTCTTCAAAAAATTAAAAATAGATCTACCATATGATCCAGCAATTCTACTTCTGGGTATATACACAAAGAAAATGCAAACAGGATATCAAAAAGATATATGCACTTCCATGTTTATTGCAGCATTATTCACAATCACCAAGATATGGAAACAACCTAAGTGCTCATCAATGAATCTGTGAATAAAGAAAATGAGAAAGAAGGACATCCTTACATCTAAGTGAAATAAGTCAATCAGAGAGACAAGTACGTGAATGGTATCACCTAGATGTACACTCTAAAAGAGCCAAACTCCTAAAAACAGAGCGTAAAAAGGTGATTACCGGGGAATGGGGGTGGGGGGTTGAACAGATGTAGTTTAAGGATATAAACTTTCAATGAGTAGTAAATAAGTGCTAGAGCTCTAATACACAGCATCATGAATATAGACAATAACATTGTATTATAATCATAAAACTTGCTGAGAGACTAGAACTTAATTATTCCAACCACTAGAAAGAAATGCAATTATGTAATATGATAGAGGTACTAATTATCACTGCAAAGGCAGTCATATTATAATATATAAATGTATCAAATTAACATGTGTACACTTCAAAATTACATGATTCCACATGTCAAATATACTTCATTTTAAAAGTCTGATTTTGGGACGCCTGGGTGGCTCAGTGGCTGAGCATCTGCCTTTGGCCCAGGGCGTGATCCTGGGTTCCTGGAATCGAGTCCCACATGGGGATCCCTGCATGGAGCCTGCTTCTTCCTCTGCCTGTGTCTCTGCCTCTCTCTCTGTGGCTCTCATGAATAAATAAATAAATTTTTTAAAGGCTGATTTCAAAAAAAACAAATAAATAAAAAGTCTGATTTCTGAGAGAAAAAAAAGAGTATCTTTAAGTGCCTGCAGAGAAAAGAGAAAAGAGAGATGAAGTCTAGCTTTGCAGGACTTTAGTAACCCAAGCTACAGCCCCAAAACTCATCCTCATGCCTTTTTTGTATCTTGAGATGCTCCTTGCTGACCCCTAAGCCCTCCCGCTTTTTTAAAGATTGTATTCATTTATTCATGAGAGACACAGAGAGAGGGGCAGAGACATAGGCAGAGGAGGAAGCAGGCTCTCTGTGGGGAGCCTGATGCAGGACTCAATCTCAGGACCCCGGGATCACGCCCTGAGCCCAAGGCAGATGCTCAACCACTGAGCAACCCAGGTGCCCCACCTCTAAGCCCTTTTTGCTTAAGAAAGAAAAGACCTTTTGTTAGCGGGATCCTAGTTACTCAAATATCATCCCACTTAAACTGATACCATTTAATTTTTGCCAAGAAAAAGAAAAAGAGAGAGACTACCAAGATAATCTACACCCTTAGCATTATAATGGGCGTCTTACAGGTAGCTGTAAGGAACTGGAACATCTTCTCAGGTCGAAACCAGCTCAATCTCAGAATCCAAAGGTGAATCTGAAGAGGTTCTGGTCAGAACTTAACAAAACCTTTCTATAAGACCCAATTTGGTTTACTGAGTTCACGTGAACACATCTAAGGCCATGACTGCTTATGTAGCTAACTGACCATTATGTGCTCAGCAATAGCTCACAAATCACCCTGAGCATGAACACTTAGAGCAAATAAGGCTAGCACACCCCAGTGACCCAGCCCTGTGAAAACACTTCAGTCTGGGACCTAAGCAACAGGTGTTCACCATGCTGACATCTATCCCCTGTGTGGTTTACTTTTTTATAAAGTCTGAATTTGGTGTTGAAGTGGTGACTTGTGCTTAGTAATTTGCCCAGTTTAAGAGAAGGTAACCATGGCTAGGATGATTAGGAATCTGATGGAATCAATTAAGAATGTCTAAAGAAGGGAAAACAAAAACTCCTTAGTGGTTAGAGATCAAAGATGGTCAGTGAATCATTGTTTCTGAGTAGTAGGTGATGTTTGTTTTATTCACTAAGCCCATTTAGTGGTAATAAGATGTTATGTATTATGTTTTATATTGGAGGATTATTCCCATCTTCAAAGGAAAACTGTGGGGCCAGGCCATGTGCCTGTGACACTCACTTAACTTCATTCCGAATACCTACCATTGTGTTTAGACCTTTGCTAGTCTCCAGACAGGTTATGAGGCAGAGGCAGGGGAGAAAGCAGACATTGTTTCTACCCACCCTTCAAGACTTCCTCCGTAAATTAAGCCACTTAACACTCAGGTCCTGAACCCTACTCTTTTAAGATCAACCCTATAAAGTGTAATAAAAACAGTTTACAGTTAGATCCAAATTCTTCTTCCTTCTTTATATGTCATATATGTCACAGTTAGAAACTTTAAGTTCATGATCCAATTATTTAAGTTTTATTTTTGTTGGTTTGGTTGTTTTTTTTGTATTGGGGCACCTTGATAGCTCAGTCCATTAAGCATCTGCCTTTGGCTCAGGTCATGATCTCAGGGTACTGGGATCTAGTCC